CACAGACATCAAAGCAATAGAAACTATACTATCGAATGACCTGAACAAGCTGAACTGCTACTTCAAAGACTGGAGGTTAAAACTTATTTCCACCTCGCCAATTGCCTTGCTAACATAACAATCAACGTCAAGTGCGAAGACAAAACTATTCCATTTGAGAAAAGCCCTAAATATCCTTGACCGCTCACTGACCTTCAAACAACATCTCCAACAAACAGCAGCAAAAATCCAAGCAAGGAACAACCTCCTGCGAAGACTAGCTGGCACTAGCTGGGGTGCAAATTTCACCGTCTTACGTACCTCTGTGCTTTCTCTGGCCTTCTCGGTAACTGAGTACTGCTCTCTTGCCTGGCACAACAGCAGCCACACGAAGAAGGTAGACACAGCCCTGAACAACAGCATGCGCATTATAACCGGGTGCATTAGATCAACGCCCACTGAATTGCTACCAATTCTCAGCAGCATCTCCCCACCTAACCTTCGCAGAGAAGCAAGTTGCATCAACCTTGCACTGAAAGCCTCGGATGACTCCAAACACCTGCTGCACGATTCCATCTTCAACCGGAACACCACAATCCTCTAATTAGAAAACCGGCACTCACCTTCTAACACAATGAAGCGCCTTATGAAAGAAGCAAACAACGACAATGGCACTAATTGGGCTAACAAAAAGTGGCAAGACACGTGAAATAATAACAACCACAGACTGAAACAATTTATTGACAAAGTATCCAACAAACCCGCTGGAAATGACCTACCCAGACAAACCTTGGTCAAGCTGAACCGACTAAGAACCGGACATGGCTGTTTCCGGGCCACCCTACACAAGTGGGGTCTCACTGGTGACCCAACTTGCGAATACGGCGATGGCAAGGAGCAGACAGCCAACCACCTCCTATACTCCTGCCCACGCTTCAGATGTCCCGGCAACTTTATCGATTTGGATGATGCCAGCCGCGACTGGCTGAGGCACCTGACTGTGACTGTGAACTATGTAACTTCTGCATGTTTAGTTCATACGAATATATATATATATATCAGCGAAAAGACCACAGGCATTCTCAGAATAGAACAGGCGTACTTTCCAATGAAAGACAGTCCCCCTTCCCCCCATGGAAAGACAGACAAATGTTTTCACTGCCTATTTAGTAGCTATTCAGAGGGAAATGTGGGGACTTCACTGTGGTGGTGCTTGTTTCTTTGCAGACTATGCATGCTGTACACGGCTACCTATCTGTATTAAACCTATTTCACTCAGTAGTTTAAGTGTAAAGTGCTATGAGGAAAAAAAGTCTCTGCAGGAGCACATCTGCAATAGAAAGCAACCGGATATCAAAAGAACCACAACTGAATGAGTTTTGGCAGTAAGAGAGAGAACAGAAAAATAATAAGATAGTTTCTATTAGCCCCATTTTAACTTAAAACACGTGATTAATTAAATGCCTTTATTGATTGACAATCTGACAATGCAACGTAAATCATTATCTTTGTCTTCTAAGTATCTTAATCAACTTTCAGCATAGCTTTCTCTTCATTTAGATTTATTTTTCATACCATCACTAAACAAAGCAGGAGCATATTGTCATTCCTCTTGGGATCACACGTGGAAAGATTAGATTGTAGTCGTTTTTATTTTTTAAATACCACTTTATAGATATATTGATAAAGATAAGAATTAAAGTTGATACTGTTTAGGCTTTTAATTATTTTAAAACTGTATTACAACATCGTACACATGCATAAAAAAGAAGAGAAAAAACACAACGTTTCAGCTGTGAAGTGTTCTTCAGGTGTGAGGGTCTTCTGCTTAAAATGAAACGCTAAAATGTAATGTAGGCTCTGAACTGGTTCAACTATGATTTGGGCTTGATTGAGATCACTGCCTTTCATCTGAAATCCTGCTTGGATCCTGCTAAACTAAAAATTAAACACAAAAAGAGAAGAGGCTCTGGTGAAATTCCTCTGTGAACCGAAGAGTTAAAGTGTAAAGTGTCTCCTCCTTTTAATGGAAAGAGACATGGTGCTTTAAACAAGAGAGTGTGGCGTTACTTTTTGTCAATGAAAGTGTGTGTGTGTTTTTTACTCCCTGGTGGAAATGGGCTTCCATAAGAATCAGTATACTGTAGCTTCTGGGAAATACATTTTTCCTGCATTAAAGTTTAACCCGTCCAGAGCACCCTACATTACAAACTCCAAGCGTTTCATTTTGAGCTGAAGACCCTCACACGTGAAGAAGGATTCGCAGCCGAAATGTTACAGTATTGTATTGCAGTAAATGTTTATATCTTATATCAAATTTGTAATTTATTTTTTAAAAATTAAGAAAATCATTTGCTCAGCCTAAGAGGGGGAGGTCTGTTCTCATTGACAGCTGACACCCCTCTATACACTCAAGTGAAAAATTAATAATGCCAATGTAAACGTCGTA